GTCCCTTGAATAACTTGTTTCTAACAAAGTATGACAAGATCGAGGGGGCTCATTTCAGTGATTAGGTTGTGTAAGATGGTCACTTCTCTCTTGCTGGCAATCTACCTCTCCCTCTCCCCACTCTGACACAGTTGCCATGCTGAGGAGGGTTCATAGGCAAAGAACAGAGGTGGCTCCCACCAAACAGCCAGTGGAAAATTGAAGCTCTCATTCTAACTATCCTTAAGGAGCAGAATCCTGCAAACTCCAAGGGGCGGGGGTGGTCTGGGTAGAGAACTTACCCTAGTAAAATCTTCAAAAAAGACACAGGCCTAGATGAAGATTTGTGATAGAAATGGAAACAGAATGACTTTAAAAGTATTTTTATTTATTTTCATTTGATGTGTATCAGTGTTTTGCCTGCAGGTATGTAAGTCCATCATGTGTATGCAATACCTGTTGAAGCCAGAAGAGGGTGTTGGAGCCACTAGAACTGGAGTTATAGATGGTTGTGAGCTGCCACATGAGTGGTGGGAACTGAACCTGGGTCCTCCGTAAGAGTAGCCACTGTTCTTAATTGCTGAGTCATTTCTCCAGCCCCTTAAATATGTCTTTTTATACTGCCAAGTTTTAAACTTCTAAGTTTTGTTTCTTTGAGTTGATGACTAGCACTAGACAGTAGAGCTAATGAACGAGGGTAGAACAAAGACCAGATAATTAAAATGAATACTCTCATCTGAAAAGGTTAACCACAGGCAGTTCCTAACAATCACCACTCACAGCAATGCTTAATCCCATCAGGTAAGTGCTGGGTAAATCCCTCTTGTCAACTCACTGGCTGCTCTATACAGCATGAAAACTGAGACCTATGAGGTCTTTTTGTGTTTTGAACCATTTAGGTCTCTTTTAGTCTATACTGGAAGAGTTTTTATCAACATGTGTCTCTCAAAAATATATCAGACTATTTTCTTAATTCTAATCAACTACATATACCAAAGGCATACCCACAATTATTTTGTGCTAACCCTTTACCTCTTGAGGCTTAATTACCTCTAATTTGGGCTTAGGCTTCAATGAGACTTTGCTGATAAGATTTCTGGGACTTCTTTTGTCTACCTATAAGAGTCTATGAGATAGACAAACCACAGTTCTTTCAGAGGTCTGAACAATAGATGTTGTAGCTACATCTAGATATATTTTATTCTTTGAAAAAATATTTAACAGCTGGGCATGGTGGCAAACATCTTTAATCCCAGGACTTGGGGGGCAGGTGGATCTCTGTGAGATCAGGCCAGTCTGGTCTACATAGCAAGTTTGAGGCCAGCTGTGGCTACAGGGAGACCGTGTCAAAAAGACATATAAATATGGTGTGTGTATGTATGTATGATGGTATATGCCCACATGTATGTGGGTATACTCAACTATGTGCATTTGCACAGTCCAGAAGTGTTCTCCTCTATCACTTACCGCCTATTTCTTTGAGGCAGGGTCTCTCCCTGAATGTGGGGGTAGGTTAGAAGCTAGCAAGTTCCAACCTCCCCATCTCATTTGGAGCTGGAGTTACAGGTATGCTTCTTTTTCTTTTTTAATATTTACTATTTTTATTTCATGTGTATGAGTGTACTGCCTGCATGTATGTAAGTGCACCCATGTCATGTAATGTCCATAGAGATCAGAAGAGGGTGTCCAATCCCCTGGAACTGGAGTTATGAACTGCTGTTAGCCGGCATGTGGGTGCTGGGAACCAAACCCAAGTGCTCTGCAAGAGCAGACAGTGCTCTTAACTGCTGAGCCCTCTCTCCAGGCCCAGGCATGGTTTTTATGTGGGTACTAGGATCCAAGACACGTTCTCCTGTCTTTATTTCTTGCAGTCTCTTGTTAAATAGTTTATGCTTTCAACATTCTGTCTCAGAACCTCTTACCCAAATTTCTCTGTCAAACTAGACACATTTTTTTTTTGTCTTTGAAGTTACTTCCATTGACAATTCTACCAAATGGCTTTGGTATTACAAGACCACCAATATTTTTCTCCTATAACATTTATTATTTGTTGCACAACCACCAGTCAGCTCAGCTTTCTGCTTTATAAACTGCCACAAAAATGTCAGAGGTTCACAACACTGAACTCTCTGGTCTACAAATTTGGGGGCTCAGTTTCAGGCCAGAGCCCACTGGTTTTGGCTCTAGTCTGAGGGTTTGTGCAGAGCAAGGCCAGATTCAAAATGTTTTAGACCTGTCTACACCACAGCCACTACAATCCAATTAATCCAGAGAAAGTCACATGGTCTATCCAGTGTCAAGGAACGTGTGAAGGATAATCTTGATTGTCAACTTGACTCAATTTGTAATCATCTTGGAGACGTACATCTGGATGTGTCTGTGTGGGTGTTTCCACAGAAGTTTAAAGAGGTAAGACCCATCTTGAATATAGGCTGCAGCATCCCATGAGTTGGGGTCTCAGATGGGAAAAGGGAGAAAAGGAGTCTAGCCACAGCATTCCTTTTTCTCTGCTCCTGACTGTGGACACGACATGATGAGCAGCCTCCCATTCTAGCCACAGCTAGAGCTTATAGAGCTGCTCTGTCTGCCATGTCTTCCTCACCATGGTGGACTGTGCCCTCAAACTGTGAGCCACAACACACCCCTCCTTCCTTAAGTTGCTTTTGTCAAATATTTTGTTGTGGGAACAAGAAAGTAGCTAATATATCCCTGTACCAAATAAGAACATTCACAGGTTCCAGATTGACATGAATTGGGGGAGGGTACATTATTCAACTCAGTATAACCAGAAACATGAGTTTAGATTGACAAGTGGTCCTTAGACTGGAACCATAAAAGATAGGAAAGGACTGGCAGTGGGCCTTGGGAAATAGGTACTTATGGTCTTGTTGCAGGATCTGCAACACCACGGGGATAGATTCTGTCTTTTCTCTGGACCCTACTCCTCCACAAATTGAGGTTACTCAAACCATGCCCACTATGTTCCAGTTCCCAGGGCACGTAGATACCTTGCTGAGTACATCCAGGTATGTGTATTTGTGTTTCCTTTGCATATCTCCCCACTCTTGCCAGAGGTTTGCTACTGTAACGGTAAGCTGTTTCGGGTGCAGAAATGAAATAGATTTAAATGGGATTGATGTTTTGCCAGGCAAAAACAATACGTGAGGAAACAGCCTGAGTACTCTATATGCAAGGGGGTGACTGTAATGATCTGACTCTAAAGCTGGGGAACAAGGGGAGTGGGAACATGAATGGGATGAGGGAAAATCCTGGAGCCAATAGGTTGGAGTTCCAAAGGCTGCTGAAAAGTGGTTAATAAAGGCAGCAGGAAGGATAGCAAGTGGAAGCAATGGAATTTTGATTTGAGATTTTAGGAGGGTGGCTACTGGATGTGACCTTGGGAAGGGGTGTGGCAGGCTGTTTCTAAAGCTGGTGACAATCTCTCTCATCTCCCTTGGCTTTCTACCATGTGACCACACCACACCTCTAGTAAGATGTGGAATACTGTTTTCCTCCCCTTCACTGTGGGATGGCATTTACATGTTTTACAGCCACCTGGGAAGGTATGAAGCTTAAGTGATTTCCTAGACCAGGTCAGAAAAGGCCACGTCACTTCCCCTGGTTCTCTTGCACAGAGTCAGCCATCGTGGAGGTAGTCCATTCCCAGACTACCTTGTTAGAGATACGGCTCTTTGACTGAAATGCTAGTTCCAGGTGAATCCATCCTTTTACTCCCCCACCAAAATTGCAGCTGCGTGAAACTGTCTAGGCCCACTAGATCAGCCCGTGGGGAACCTAGAGGACTTCACACAAGAAACTTTTTATTTTCTCATGGCGCTGAGGATCAAATTCAGGGCCTTGCACATTTAAGTCAAGTGGTCTACACCCAGTTATGTCCTCAGTCTTTTAGAAGGACTTTGTGATACCACAAGGAACAAAAGAGCCAAGCTGAACCCCACTTTGTTAACCCCACTTCATTTTTTTTTACCTACATGATAAAACACCTGTGGCTTACATGTTACTGTCGTTCATCCAGACCTCTCACGAATTACGGACCCACTGCTGACTGCCTTCAGGACATCTCCACTTATGTGTCCAATAAGCATCTCAACAGATCCCAAACTGAGTTCTGAAGAGTCCTCTCAAACCTGCTCCTACCCGCTCGTTAAGGGGAGATTCTTCCAGCTGCAGAAGCCAAAAACCTTGGTGTCATCTCTCGCTCCTTCCCTTGTCCACACTCACATCTACTGCGTGGGAAATTCTGTTGGTTCTATAGCATATGCCTACATTCAATCTACCTCTTTCACCTATCCCTGGCATCCCTATTCCTCTGGTGTTTCTTATCGATGACCACTGGTCTGTCTCCTTACAGGTTTCACTGTGGCTTTTGTCTATCTTTAGGCTACTCAGCCAGTTTAGTTAAGGGATCCAGTCAAAAGGCCAGGCAGATTATATTCCCCTTCTGTGCAGACTCCTCCAGCAGGCCTCCCTCTCATACATAGCAAACAAATGCTGAAGGGCTTGCCTTGGCCTCCCTTGCCTCTGTGCAGCTGTCTTGTGCTCCTCTTACACTCAGCCTTCCAGTCTTAAATGCATTAGGCCCAGGCTTGTCTCTGGGTCTTGCACTCTTTTGCAGAGACTTTAGTCTCTTTCTTCCCTCTTGCTCCTCTTCAGTGACTCCTCATGACCTTCCAATGACACCAAACCTAAACTTCAACGTGTTACTCGGAAACCCTGAGACCTACTCCTTGCTTTATTTTTCTTTTTAGCATGAGTCACTGTCTAACATACGATACATTTTGTTTATTGTCCACTCTATCTGATGGAATGTTAACTATACCAAAGTGAGCTGTTTTGTATTACTTGTTTACTGTTGGTTAGAATTATCTCATCCACCCAAAAAGCACTAGAAACACTTACTGAATAACAGAATTTCTCAGGACTGCTTATAGCACCCCAATTAAAGGGAAAAATGGTTAGGAAAGGAGGTAGGGTGCAGGTAAAGAAAATTCTAACAAGAGTTATGATTAGCTTTCATTTATTATATCTTCATTTAATCACTTATTCACAATTTTCTAATTCCACTCTTGCTGAGTATCTGGGCTCTAAAGAGCAGTGAACACACCAAGCAGAGTTCATTTACTTTTTGAGTTGTTCCTCTCTTGGTTTTGAGTCTCTGGTCTCCAGGAGTCCTAAGAGAACTGCATCAGCCTCCAGTATAGTGGTGTCTGTGGTTGCTCCCAGGAACCTAGACGTTAGCTCAAGATCTAAGAGCCGCAGCCGAACCCTGGCTCCCTTCTGGTACTTCCTAAATAGTAAGAAAAAGATTCCATTAGTTCTGCAGGTCATACATAAACAACTACTTAAAAATGAAATTCAAATTCCAATTTTCATTTGTATTGGTCAAGTTAAAAAAGTTAACACAGGTACCTGAGAAACAGTTGCATTTGACATTTAGGTCTATCAGAATTTTCATCTTCAAGTTGCCTTTAAAATTTTTACTTTAACCAGGTGTGGTGGCACACACCTTTAATCACAGACCTGGGAAGGGGGGCAGAAGCAGGTGGATCTCTGTGAGATCAAGGCCAGCCTGGTCCACATAACAAGTTCCAGGTCACCTGGGGCTACAAGGAGACGCTGTTTCAAAAAATAACAAAACTTTTTACTTTATTTAGTTATATGTACATGTGTTGTATATTGGCATATATGTGTAGATGTGTGGATGTGTGTGTGTACATGTGGAGGCCAGAGATCAGTATCAGGTGTCTTTTCTTGATCATTATCCACTTTAACCTGGAGCTCATCAATTAGCTGGGCTGGCTAGTGAATGAGCCTTCTGACTTAAACTCCCTGTCAATCAGTGGTAGGGTTGCAAACCTGTGCTGCTCTGCCCAGCTTTTATGTGGGCTCTGGGGATCCAAACTCAGGTCACTTTCCTTGTGCAGCAGGCACTGTACTGAGTCAGACCATGTCTCATGTAGCCCAGGCTAGCAATGTACTCCTGATCCTTGTGCCATCACCTCCAAGTCAAGTGCTGGGGTTACAGGTGGCACTACCATACTCAGCTATTTAAATATTTTATACCACAAAAAAAGTATTCAAAATTGAAATTCAAACAAGTTAGTTCTTAAAACTACCACTTATTTTAATATGTCATTTATTGTTAAATCAGAGTATCAAAGGGGGAAAAACTTTTCACTTACATTTTTCCTCCTAAAATTAAAATCTTTTAAAAGTAAAGTAAAATTTTACAAAAACGAAATGGATAAAAGTCCAAGTGCAATATTTGTATTATTTGGGATGGAGGGTACTGTTATTAAAATGTAAGGTCAGTCAGATGAACCTGAAAGACACCATGTGAAGTGAAATAAGCCAGGGACAGGAAGAGAAATGCTGTATAGTCCCATGTGTGAATCAGAAAAGGGTAAACTCATAGAGGAGGCAGGCAGAATACTGGGTGGGTGTGGGGTTGGGACGGGTGCCTGTCAAAGAACAGTTTCAGTTAAACAGCAGGAATAAGTTCAAAAGATCAATTGTACAGCATGGTGACTAGAGTAAAAATACCCAGTCTGGTCTACACAGTGAGTTCCAGGACAGTTGGGGTTACAGTGAGACCCTGTCTCCAAAAAGACAAAAAAAAAAAAAAAAAAAAAAAAAAAAAAAAAAAAAAAAAAAAAAAAAAAAAAAAAAAAAAAAAAAAAAAAAAAAAAAAAAAAAAATCTTATAGACATGAAAACATCTGAGAGATTCTCAGTGTCAACATAAGAAATGTAAGCACATGAGACATGGCAGTAAGCTTGACTTAGCCAGTCCACATGAAATCACTCCAAACATCATATTGTATGCAAGAAATATGTGATTCTTTACAGCAATGTGTGGTGGCCTATACTTGTACTCTCCACATTCAGAACACTGAGATAGAAGGATTGCTGAGTTCCAGGCCAGTCAGTATGGGCTACATTGTGAGTTCCAGATCTGCCTGGGCTATATACTGATATCCTTTCTCAAAAGCAAACAACCACCACTACCACCACCACCATCCAAAACCCAAATCAAACCTAAAACCAACTAACCAAAAATTTTGTCAGTTAAAAAAATGAGTGAACTAGGAAAAAATGTAAAAACAAGTAGCAAAGTAATTCAAAAGTGGTCAACAAAACATTCCAGTATCTTATATCATCAAACTAAAACTGATGATCATTTGCCTTTCTTCCTTTCTTTCTCTCTCTCTCCTCTCTCCTCTCCTCTCCTCTCCTCTCCTCCCCTCCCCTCCTCTCTCTCTCTCTGTCTCTGTCTGTCTCTGTCTCTCTGTCTCTGTCTCTCTGTCTCTCTGTCTCTCTGTCTCTCTCTCTCTCTCTCTCTCTCTCTCTCTCTCTTTGAGACAGGGTCTCCCTGTAGGCCCAGCTCTGGAATTTGCTATGTAGACCAGAATGGTCTTGAACTCAGAGAGATCTTCCTGTCTCAGCCTCTCAAATGCTGTGCCACCATGCCCAGTGATTTATTTTCTCATCGTGTACACTTACTCCCACACCTTCCTTCCTCTCCTCCTCCTCCTCCTCTCTTTCCTTTTCCCAGTCTCGCTTCTACTTTCCTCCCCCCCATGTATTATTATTTCCACACAGTGGCAGAAATGCATTATTTGAGTCTGGCTGATTTCACTCAGTATGATAATCTCTACTTCCATTCATTTTCCTGAAAATGATATTTTATTCTTCTTTGTAGTTGAATAAACTGCCATGTGATATATAGCGTATTTTCTTTAGTCTTGATTCACTTTAATATAATTTATTTTTCTAT